TGTTGGCAAGACCATTGAGTCCACTGAGCCTTGGTTACTTTATCTGTGAAATGGGGATAATAATAACATATGTAGGCAATATCTAATTTCCAATGGTTCAATTTTAGAATGCTGAAAAAGTAGTAGATATTCAATGGAAATTAAGCAGTAGGTCTTTTCCTTGACTATTATTGTATAGTAGGATACTGTCTGGTAATTTTGGATAGTAGAATTGAACCAAAACTCCCAATCAACAACATCACAAGGGCAGCAACCCATGTTCTGAAGTATACTTTGATGCTAAGCTGTGATGGTGGGTAGATTAAGTGCACTAAATATATTTTTGACTTACATTTTCAATTTACAGACTCATGATAAGTCAAAGACCAACTGTACCTCATAGATTTCCAGGAGTATTGCATTTCTGCATATTTTTAAAGTATCCCCTGTGTCCTAGAAAATGTTCTACTAAGTGGAGTCCTACAGAAAGCATGGTAAATATTTCTGGGGTTAACAATGTGCTGGAAAATGGCATTTGGTGAGAGGCTGTGTCACAGACAGATAAGCAATAGGCATGCAAAGGAAGTATAGTGCATTGATATCATAAATATGTCTTCATCTGAATTTATGAGTTTAAGGCCATCACAACAATCATATCAGCATCATTATATTTGAGTACTTAAGCTGATCTTAAGTTCCTATAGAAAGTTGAAGAAACTAGACTAACCAGGAAAATTTTCAAGGAGAATGATAATGAGAGGGGGTTATCTTACATATTTTAAAAATATTTGGGGCCGGCACTGTGGCGCAGTGGGTTAATGCCCTGGCCTGAAGTGACGGCATCTTATATGGGCGCTGGTTCTAGCCCTGGATGTTCCGCTTCCAATCCAGCTCTCTGCTGTGGCCTGGGAAAGCAGTAGAAAATGGCCCAAGTCCCTGGGCCCCTGCACCTACATGGGAGACCGGAAGAAGCTCCTGGCTCCTGGCTTCGTATCAGCACAGCTCTGGCGGTTGTGGCCAATTGTGGAGTGAACCATCAGATGGAAGATCTAAGAAAAAAAAATATTGCTATAATTGTAATAGTGTGATATTAGTGAATGGATACAGATGAATTAATGTAATAGATTATAAAGTCCCAATGGAGAAATAAAATTTGGTATTTTGTAAGGGAGTTATTTTAACTCAGTAAGTAAAAGATGGATTTTTTTTAAAAAAATTGAGTAACTGCATAGATATTTGGATAATTTAAAAATGATACACTTAATTGGAGGAAGAAAAAATATTCCTTTTTCTCTAAATAAAATATTAGTCCTAATATTAGTCCTAAAATATTTGTAAGGCTTGGGAATTCTAATATAGCTAATAAGGCTGCCTTGAAAAATAGTAAGGTAGCTATGAAAAATACACAAACAAAAAAGCTTAAATCATCACTACAAATCCTGTTTCCTTTTTCTTTTTGTTTATTTTTAAAATTATTTCGATATTCAAAAGGTATCAGAATATTATGAACATCCATATACTTAAGATTCCAGATTTTAAAAGATGTTTGTAAAGCCACATATAAACCATCTCTGATTGCTTTTCCCTCTTTATACAGGACCTAGTTATCTACCACATTGAATCTAGGGATGCTTGTTTTAACATTTTGTGTTTTCTCCATGATAAGCACAGCTACTTGCATTTTCACTGTTATCTGTAGGAATGTGTATTTATTTGTTTCTCTAGCCATAATTCGATAGGTATGGATTTTATTTATGGTGTTTAAGATTGTGATATTTTTCTCTTTTCCATCACCAAATCTTTTCAGGTTCACCTTCAGAGCACACAGAAAAGTTGACCTGGTCCAAACCATCATCGTTGGGCTGAATCCTTAAAATCACCTCCACTGGCCATTGCCCCCTTTTCTATTGATTCTCCACAGTTGATCAGAGTGATTTTTGTAAAGTTTAAGTCAGATTCCTTTACACCCATTTTCAGGATTCCTCAGTGACTGTCAGATCATTCCAAGGAAAGTTCGAAGCCTTGAAAACTGCATGACGCCTGCAGGACCCCTTTCCCTGGCTTCATTTTCTTTTCCTCCTTCAGCTCCAGCCAGGGTGCCTGCCTTGCTTTCCCTTAGCTCTGCCTGGCGTTCGTGTGTCTCTGGGAAACAGCTACTTCTGCCTAGAACAGTCTCCTCCCAGGAGCCTGTGTGGTTACCTCTCACCCCTATGTGATTGGTACTCAAATGTCATCCTCTCACTGTGGCCTCCTTTAACCACACACTATTCCAATTTCATTACACCCTCTGAAAGGTTAGTTCCCTCCCTGCTTTATCCGCACCACTGGTCACTCCTAACATAACACCATAATTTGCTTATCTCTTTTATTGTTAATCTTCTATCAATCATCAGGTCCATGAGAGAAAGCGTTTGTGTCCTTTTCCTTAACTGCCACAGCCTTTGAATCTAAAACTTTTCCTGAACCTTCTCAGGTGCTCAGACAGGTTTAATGTAGACATGAGTGAATGAGACTTGGACATTCCTATCAGTATTAAATGAGATCGCGAATGCTTAGTATTTCTCAAGCAAATAGCATGAACTGAAAAGAGAAAACGTATGGCTATGATTAGATGAACTTAGTATTGGTTATTTATTAAAGTTGAAATTATTAAGAAAAGAAATCCTAAAAAAATGATGCTTCCTGAGGTGAAAAGTTCCAACATAAAACGTTTAAATTTAAAATACCAAGACAAAAAGCAAATGATTTAAGGAAAGTCATCTGAACCCTCCTTGTCTGTGACTGTTGATTTCTGTTCCATTTTGAGTTGCCACATTGTGTTCCTATTTCAGCTTCTGGAATTAGATTTATGGTTCTCTTGAATAGCTTTTAGTACCCTTACATGACAATTACTTGACCCCATGCTGACTTGTAGATCTCAAACAATTCCTGATGAATTACCAGCAACTTCATTTAACATTTCTAGCCTCTCAGATGGGATCTATCTTTGCCAAGTACCACATTGCCAAGTAGCTAATTTTATTTTTGTCTGCCAAGAGCAGTTTTCTCTACTGGTACAATCATTCTGAGGAATAGTAGTTAGAAGTAGCTATCTGCATTCAGTAGTAAAACTGTTTTAATTTTGTTTTTTTCCATTTGCAAAAATAGGTTGCCATTATGAAAAGTCAAAAGTTTTAAGGGCATTCTTGTTTATTAAACTGATGAGGGATGCTGAAATTGTCTCCAAATTTATCTCTAAAGAAGATAGAACAGCAAAGGAATAATGTGAAGTAATGTTAACTGACTGCTTTAGGTAATCCCAACATCTTCTAAGTGATTTCCATGGATTACTGCATTTTATCTAATCTCCTTTTCACAGGAGAGATAAAGAATCACTGAGAAGTTAAATAACTCACTGAAGATTCCCAAGCTCAAGTTCAGATAAGGCTGTCCAAGGCCCAGGCTATGCCACTGAAGCATACTTCAGAAGGAGTGAAGTCCAAATCAAACATACATTGAAAATAATTGATTCTTTTACACTTACTGACATTTTGAAAATGTTGATAACTGCGTTGCCTCCCTCATAATCCTTTAAACAATCATCAGTGTATAAAAATAGCTTTTTAAATCCTAAATGGTAGCAATGACCAGTCATTGTCTTTCATTGATTAAGAATCTATAGATTAATGATGAAACATTGATATTTTTATATATTTATCACTTTGCTTTTAGAATGCACATTTCTTGTGCTTATAGAGTTCATAACATTTAATAAATAAAAATATTTTTATAAAAATAGAAAAAGGAGCTATTATATTTATTACAAATTTTTCATAAATTGAACTTTTTATATTCTGAAGTCATTGAGGTAATAAGCTTGTCAACACAGAACGTTCTCAAATAAAAGAAACCACACATTTTGTAGCAAATTTTTCCTTTAAAAATTAGAAATGTCTTTCAAAGATATCTTAGTTTAGGCTGTTGTTATGAATTACCATGGACCAGGTGGTTTATAAGTAACACAAATTTGTTTTTTCATAGTTCTTGAGGTTGAAAGTCTATTATCTGGGTACAGCATGCGTGGGTCCTGATATGGGCACTTCTGAGTTGGAGACTGCTGGCTTCTGATTGTGTTCTCACATTGGCCTCTTTTAATAAGGCCCAAATCTTATGCAGGAAAACTTCAGCTTCATGGCTTGATTATCTAGACTCTAAATCACGTTAGGATTAGGGTTTAACATAGGAATTTTGGGGGAAAACATTCAGTCCATTATCGAGACCCTTACTTTTACCAAAATGTGCCTTTTGTTGAAGATTGCCCAACTGTAACAAAAGCCCCTGCTGTATTAGTGTAGGCAGACATTGAGTACATTTTCTATGAAATCAAATTGACAAATTACAATAGAGACATATGTGATGTTAAATACAAAGCAAAGTCAAATACCTACAGGGCCAAGCAGGTACCAGAACTGAGATGAAGTTGACCATGTTATCAAGACCATAAAGCAGATGTTATTTATAGGATGGGCATAAAAGAATTTTCCTAGAGACTAAAGTAAAATGTTTTATCTTTATTTGATTATCAGAGTAAATGCCTTCGTTAACTGAATCTTTAAGAGCTCTTTCTAGGAATATGCTATTTCTCAAGGTTGTAGGAGGACACTTAAAAAGTTCCTTGAAAATACAATTAACGGCAAGTTTATTTTGATGGAAAAAGTTTTTGAAATTCATGCAAATGAGGGATCTTAAAAAAATTTGTTGAAAATGCATATTGTGAAAAAAAAATCATGCCTATCTGACTGTATCCCAAAAAAACATTTAATTCTATTTTCCAGGAATTTTTTGAAGTATGCTTGTATGTAGAGTGTTAATTTCAAAATTTTTTGTAGGAACTCTCGCATATAATGTCATTATCAGCATTCAGAGCACCATGCAGATACGTCTTTGAGTAGTACTTGCCAGTTCTGTCTGACAACCGTGCATAACCACACAGTCACTGCTTTCTCTTTGTGTGTGTGTATGTGTGTGTGCTGGTGTTGCAGGGAAGGCCAGCAGTCGCCAGAACAGTGGCAGAAGATGTACGGCAGGTGCTCTGGGAATGAAGTCTACCACATTGTTCTGGAAGAAAGCACATTTTTTGCTGAATATGAAGGAAAGAGTTTTACATATGCCTCTTTTCATGCTCACAAAAAGTATGTTTCTGCTTCAGGTGGAGTTAAGATACCGATCAAATAATTAGTTATGACATTTAAACGCAGTTTTCTAAAATAACAACCCACATTAGTGCTCATAAGTATTCTGGAATCTTTTATATGATTATTGAAATGTCTGCTAAGGTTGTCAGCAGTATAATAATAGGAATATTCACTTTAGTAACTTTTAAACTCATTTTCAATATTTTAACCTATTAAGAATTTATAAACATATGAAACATAATATTCTTTACAAATCTAAATTTTTTAATGTTGATTAAAAGTTAAACAGTCCTAATAACATTTATAAAACTATACATTAGAAAAATTCTGATGGTGGCACTGCCTTCGCCAAAGCAATATGTTAAAAAATAAATACCACCTTCTATCTCAAATATGAAGCATTATTTTTTCCCTTCTTTTTTTGAGAAAAAAACCTACTTAAGAAATAAAATTATATGTATACCTTGAAAATAATGTATTGTCTGCATCAAAACACATTAATGTAGCATTTTTGGAATTTACAATATATCTTGTGTATTCCACTAATCTAATATTTAGTGTATTCTGCTGTAATTCTCAATATGATTCTATTTATACATATATATTTGCTGTTTTAAAATATTTTGCTTGATTTATTTTGTAGCGGTATAAGACATTGAAATAAAAATATTTTAAGGAGGGACATTTGATTTAGAAGTTAAGCTGACACTTGGGATGCCAACATCCTATATCAGAGTGTCTGGTTTGAGTTGTGGCTCTACTACCAGTTTCAGCTTCCTGCTGATATGCGCCCTGGGAGGAAGCTGTGGTAGACAGCTCCAGTTATTCCATTCCTGCTACTCACATGAGAGACCTTGAGTTCCTGGCTCCCAATTTTAGCCTTGCCCAGGGTGGCTACTTCAGGCATTTGAGAAGTGAATTGGAGATTGGAGGTCTCTTCTCTCTCCTCTCCCTCTCCCCTCCCTCATCTCCCCTCTCTCCTCTCCTCTCTGTTTCTCTCAGTCTCTCCCTCTCCCTCTCCCTCCTATTTCTCTGTCTCTCAAATAAATAAGCAAGTAAATAAAAAAATTAAATACATACACACACATACATACATACATATATCTGAAAATGTATGTTTGGGACATAATCCTCTGTCAAAAAAAAGAAATTTAATGTAATCTCTTATATTCAGAGGTTGTTTTAAGTTGCACATCTATTCATGATTACTTAAATTTTTTAAATTCAAAATAAGCTCAATATTATGGAAACATTACCAAAAGAAATTCAAGGTCCCCTGTTCGTTCTCATATGAACTTGGGTAAGTTTCTTTTCTTTAGGCCAACTTTTTTGACCAAAGTAAAGAAATACTTTTACATCTTTTGACCAAAATAAATCTTATAGAAGTTTACAAAACATTGTCATTATATGACGTGTACCCTGTTACTTTCTCTTTTATTCTATTCTTCATAAATAAATATAGCTTATTTTTGTCAGAATCAACTAAATTGTTTTTATAACACACTAAAGATATAATTTATTTTCCTGTAAAAAGTAGGATCTTGAACTTTCAGGATCCTTCTGACCTTTAAAATTCTGATTCAGAGTTTCAATTTTCTTCTGCCTTATAATAATTTACTAATTTTCTTATATATGCTGAATTATAATTTTAAGCTTTTCTTTTCTTCTTTTAAATTAAGGTTTGGTGTTTGCTTGATTGGTGTCAGGAGGGAGGATAATAAAAACATTTTGCTGAATCCAGGCCCTCGCTACATTATGAATGCTACAGACATATGTTTTTATATTAATATTACCAAAGAAGAGAATTCAGCCTTTAAGAACCAAGACCAGCAGAGAAAAAGCAATGTATCAAGGTCATTTTACCATGGACCTTCCAGATTACCTGTACATAGCATAATTGCCAGCATGGGTGAGTATAAATTTGAAAGTACAATCAGTTCTATCATTTAAAAAAAGAAAAAGGAGAAGAAAAAAGAAGAAATACAATTTTTACTAAAATTCCTAAGCCCTGAATTAGGTAAGATTAGGTATACAGAGAAAATTTTCTAAGCTGTTAAGTTGGTAAAAAATTAAAAAGTAGACTATTACAAAACTACAGGTAACCTTTTATATTTCCAAATTCACTATAAGCACCTAACACTTCTCTTGTAATTTATCTATCCAGTTATCAACAGAGGCTAGTTCTAATATTCTTCATTTTTGTTAAAGCTTTCTTTCCATTTTCCATCACACTCTCCTTGAACTTGACTTCTATGACACATAGGGCAAAAAGATAAATAAATAAAAGAGAAATCTAGATAAGCATAGGGACCTAGATAAGAATAAGCATCTTTGCTCAGCCCAGCCACTGGCTTCTATCTTGTTTCCTTCTGTGTGTGCCGTCATCTGCTTGGGGGGCGGGGGCGCCTGTCTTACCTATTCTGAGTTGCCTTTAGAGAGATGTGTTTATCTAGGACTCTGTGCAACTGTCGTATATGGTCCTGTAGACTGACTACTTTGTACATGAGAATAAGTCTATTTTTTTCTATGAAAAAGAAAGTAAGAATTTCCTTAAAGTTTCATTACTAAACTGCTGTAATCTAAAATATATCCTTCCTTTTAACCTTTTAACTGATGCTAATGTCTTTATTCAGTGACTCATCTTGATCCTTCTTGGAAACTTCACTCTTTAATTCATCCTTGTTACCTAACTTCATTCCCCTTTCTCCCTTGGCACTCCCTGTCCTGTCACTGGACTGGGTTGTCAGTCTCCACCCCATTCCCTGCCTTGCCATCAACACACACACACACATACACACATACACACACACACAGTTTTTGAATCTTTGGCCATAATATCTTGAAAAATTCATCAAAAGAGTTGTCTTCTATTGCAGGCTTGAAATCTCATTGTCCCCTCAGATCTCTCCAGTTCGCTCTGACATCCACAGTTATCTCCTTGAGGCTACTTTAGCAAGGTCTCCATTCCCCTTTTGTCACTGTTGTCTAAGTTCTGTGATGATGTTGACCACATTCTTCACACAAGCCCAGTGTCTTTTTTCTGCGTCTTGATTATTTGTTTCCCTGAACAGTCACATCTGCTCTAGTTGATGCTGTCCTTCATAAAACGGATGCACTTTACCTGAATCATTAATGAAAGCCTCTCTTTATAACTGTTTTTTTCTCCTGCCTGCTGGTTATTTCCATCTGCATGTGTTAGGGAAAAATTCACACAGGATATTCAAGTGGAACTAATCTTCCCACCTTCATTCAACATTCTTTCCCCATTTTGTTTTTAAAGATTTATGTATGTATTTTTTTGAAAGGCTGAGTTACACACACATACACAGAGAGAGAGAGAGACAGACAGACAGACAGACAGGGACAGAGAGATCTTCTATCCACTGATATGTCTGCAATGGCCTGAGTTAGTCCAATTCGAAACCAGGATCCAGGAGCTTCTGCTGGGTCTTCCACATGGGTGGAGGGGACCCAAGTACTTAGAACGTCCTCTGCTGCTTTCTCAGGCTATTAGCAGAGAGCTGGATCAGCAGTGGAGCAGCGGGGACTTGAACCCGAGTCCATATGGGATACCAGCGTCAAGGCAGTGGCTTACCCTGTTATACCACAGTGCTAGCCACAGATTATTTTTTTCTAAAGAACAGATGACACCATTATCCTCTGATTTGTAAGGTTACAATCTGACTTTCACCAACCCTCTCCTCTTGATTTTCATAATTCACAAAACTGCATTAAATCTGATTATTACATAGCTCTTAAAATTATTCCATTCCTTCCGTGTACACTACCAATGTACATAGTTACCATAGTTCTGCCATCCTTTTTCAGCTCTCCAGGAGCCACCCGTCTTCTCTCTAAGCCTCCAGTCTTGCATCTCATCATCTTTTTACACCCTGTAGCCAGAGTAATAATTTTTATACATTTTTTAAGATTTATTTATTTATTTGAAAGTTAGAGTTACACAGAGAGAGGAGAGGCAGAGAGAGAGAGAGAGGTCTTCCATCTGATGGTTCACTCCCCAGTTGGCTGCAATGGCCGGAGCAGCGCCGATCTGAAGCCAGGAGCCAGGAGCTTTTTCAGGGTCTCCCACGTGGGTGCAGGGGCCCAAGCACTTGGGCCATCTTCTACTGCTTTCCCAGGCCACAGCAGAGAGCTGGATTGGAAGTAGAGCAGCCGGGTCTTGAACTGGCGCCCATATGGGATGCTGGCACTTCAGGCCAGGAGATTAACCCTCTGCACCACAGCACCGGCCCTATACATTATTTTGATAATGCTATTCCTTTGGATAAATCATTTTAATGGTTTCCTATTTCCCATTAGAAAAAAATCTAAATTCTAAAATATAGCATGGTTTAGAAACGAGGACCAAATGTTCTCAGATGCATGGATCAGTCTCAATTTTCTTAGAAAAATTCTAGTTCATGTTCATTTTCTAGGTATAATCACAAAGAATATCCCTCTTCAGTTCTCGAGTATCTTAATTTAGAGGATAGATTACTCAATCTCTTTACTTACATGCCTTTTATTAAATGATTCCTTCTTAGATTTCTTCTTAACCCTTCAATTCCTCTTCTAAGCTTCAATCAGACTAATTCATTTAATTCTTCACTAATTATTTTATCAATGGGCATTAACGCAGTAAGATTCCACTGACCTGAGCTACTGTTCACCCCCAACATTGCTCAAGTAACTCCTTTTAATCCTTTACGTACCAGACTAAATTCATTACCTCCAAAATACATGTCATGGCCCTGTGTAAACTTTGTGAGATAACACTATTTGCCATTGACACATTATTTTTATTCTATAGTACTAAAACTGACTTTTTCCATTTATTTAGCAATTATTTGCTGAGTACTTGGTAGGCACCAGGAGCTCTCCTAAGTGTTTGCCATAAAGATCATTCATGAACAGACAAAAATCTGGAACTTACAGAGCTCACATTCTATCAGGAGGAATACAGGCAACAAGCAGTATCAGTCATGTAACAAAAATAAATTATTTAGTGTGTTGAAAGTTGACAAGAAATGAGAAAAAGAGGAAGAAAAATTAAGGGGATTTATGAATTCTAGGCAGACTTGGTTATTAAAAATTTCTTATTTATTAGAGAGAAAGAGCTTCAACCTGTTGGTTCACTCCTCAAATGTCCACAAAGGTGGGAACTAGGCTAGACCAGAGCTGTGAGCCAGGAGCTCAAATCAGGTTTTCTGTGGGGATGACAGGAACCCAATTACTTGACCCATGACCGCTTCCTCCCAGGGTCCGCATTAGCAGGAGTCAGGAGTCGGAGTCAGGTATGGAACCTAGACACTGACTCTGAGATGAGGTATGGGTATCTTAACCAGCATCTTAACCACGAGGGCACAAGCTTACCCCAGGACTGTTCTTTTTTTTAAATGAGGGGATGGGCAGGCCTCATTGAGAAGGTGACAGTTGAGCACATATTGAAGGAAATGAGGATACTAGTTCTGAGAATGTCTGGAGGAAGAACATTGCTGGCAGAGACAACTGATTGGGATGCCCCAGGAACAGGGGAGAGGTTGTGAAGGCTTGGGCACAGTGAGTGAAGAAAGAGCAGTGGAAGAAGAGGGAAGGACAGAAGGAGGCCAGATCATGTTGAGTTTTAAAGTCAATGATAGCATTGTGGCTTGCACTCTGGGTAAAGTGGGAATCATTGAAGGCTTTCAGCCAAGCATGGCCTGATCTCACTGTGTGATATTTTAATGCAATCACTGATTGTTGTTGATAATGGATGGTTCAGGACAAACGTCAGAGTGTTTTTAAGAGGGTGTTAAAGAGGAGAAAATTCTGGACATGCTTTCAAGGTGTAACAATCATAATTCATTGAAGAACTGGATTAGAACTGTGAAAAAAAGGAGACACTTGAACTTCATGAATTTGGTTTAAGCCACTGGGAGAAGAGAATGACCATCGATTGACAGAGGGAAAACTGAGGGGAAGGCATGTTTGGTATAGGCTGGGGGAAACAAAGAGCTTAGTTTAGAGCATGTTGAAGTTCATATGCCTAATAAATACAGAGAAGAAGATGTCGATCAGGCAGTTACAAACGAGAGTCCAGATTTCAGGAAAAGGTATAGCCTGACAAAGTGGATTTTGGATTCCAGAGCTTAAGTGCTGTATAAAAAGCCGTGATACTGAATGAGATCCTTGAGGAAATGAGTACAGATGTAAAATGGGACGTTTTTATGGCATACCAATATTAAGCATCAGAGAAATGAGAAGAAACCAGCAGGAGCACAACAGAAGAGCTACTGTCAAGGAAGCAGGAAAACCTGATGCATGTGTCTCCTAGAAGTCCAGTGACCCAAGTATGTCAAGAGAATCATATGATCAGCTATGTCAAAGATCACAAAAATGAGGACCTTTGACACATACCATGGCAATTGAGTTTAGCAATGCCATGCTCACTGTTTGCTTTCATAAGAGTTGCTTTGATGGAGGCGTAGCAGAGAGAATGGCAGACCATTTTGTTTAGGAACAAAAATAGTAGAGACAAGTTAAGGAAAAATGATGAAGACAAATGACTAGGTATAGACCACTCATAAAATTCTTCTACAAAGGAAGCAAATGAATGTTTTGGTAAAAGTACAGTGAAGTGAGAAAGGCAAATAAATTGGGCACATACAAGAAAATGCATATAATAATAGACCATGTAAGGAAGTGAAAAGACATGTGATACTTAAAGGAGACTTTCCAGCCATCTGATGGAAAGGGTAGAAGATTAAATAATTATAAACCCAGTAGGAATTCAGAGAGCGAGAGCAAGAGAGAGAAGGAGAGGACAAAGAAGGAGGAGGAGGAGGAAGGAAAGAGATCAAGAGTACCAGCAAGCTGGAAAGACTGGAGGTAAGGTTAAGTATCAGAGAATGAGATGCCAGAAAAAGAGAGTATATCAAGTCAGTAGTACTTACAGAATCTTTTGTGTGATGGTGAGAGTGAATGCTGATGAACTTAAAAGAAAAGGCCACTAAAGGAGGGGAGGAGAAGGAGTTGAGTCTGGAGTATTGAAAACCTCATCTACATACGTAATGAACTTGCCAAATATTAGGACAGAACATGTGGAAAGACTGATGTGCTCAATTATTCAGGCCTGTTCAGTCGCATAGAACTTGAAGAATAAGAGGATATTATAGATCAAAAATGTATCAAAAGAGCCAAGTGCATGAACTAAAAACTAATCATAGTATTTCAATATGGAATTTAAGAGAGATGAGAAGAGAGAACATAAAGGAGTGAGGGAGACAATGAAAAGTTTGAACAAGCAATAGAATTGAAGTTCTAGTAGAGTAAAATTGTAGTTAGAGTTGGGAAATCACTGGAAGTGACCTGAAGAATACAGGAAATAGTGATAGCTGAAGGATGGATGCAAGGGATAAATAAATGCAGCTTTGTTACTAGTTACAGTCCCAAGAATGACTACTGTGGGGAGCAACTCAGACTAGACTGTTACTGGAATTAAGACTTATTCTATGCATCTGCTCTCCCACAATATGGCGCTGGGAGAGGAGGAAACAGCTTCTATACAGCTGCCTCCAGTTCAACCAATAAACAGCAGGACCTGCTCCTGATTGGAGGAGAGCAGCGTACTCGGCATGTGGGTAGCAGAGTTGGGATTGGTGGAAGAGGACTATAAAGGAGGAGAGAGACAACATGCACCAGGAACATCTAAGGGGAACATCTAAGGGGAACACCTGTGCAGCCCCCAGGGAGCCGGCCGGCGGTGTGCCGCTCCCCTGCGGAAGTGGGGAAAGTGGCAGGGGGAACCGCCCTTCCACGGAGGTGGAAGGGTCAGTAGCCAACCCGGGAAGAACCAGCAGCAAACCCGGGAAGGGCCGAGCAGACGAAAGAACAGCGCAGGGTCCTGTGTCGTTCCTCCACGAAGAGGGGGAGCGACATAATGGTGCCGTGACTCGGATATGAAGCCTAGGCAGGGCCCTGTGTCATTCCTCCGTGAAGAGGGGGAGCGACAACTACCAAAGTGAAGGGCTGAGGTAAATTGAAAAGCAGTTTCTGTAATGAATTCAAGAAACTGAGAGATCAGAGTGTAGGGATACTAATCTATGTGTAGCATTTTGATAGGTGGGTGATGATGAGACAAGAATGATATTCTGGATTGAAGCATATCCTCCAAATTTCATATGTTGGAAGTCTTAGCCCGGAGTGTTTCAGAATGTGACCTTATTTGGAGATGACAAATGTAATCAAGTTAAAAATTGCAGTCACTACTGTTTGCCCCAGTCCAGCATGACCAGTGTACTTATTGGCAAAGGAAATTAGGGCACAGATTTACACAGAGTGAAGATGATGTAGGGAGACACAGGGAAAGATGGCCACCGAGAAGATGAGGAGTGAGGCCTGGAACAGATCCCTCCTTCACAGCCCCAAGGAGGAACCAGCCCTGGCAACATATTGATTGGAGTTTAGGTTCCAGGACACTGAGACAATACATTTCTGTTAAGACACCCAGTTCACAGTGGTTTCTTTCAGCAGCCCTGAAAAACCTACACAAATAGTATTAGAAAACTGAACCAGATCATAAGAAATAAGTAGAATGACCCAGGGCAAATGAACAATCAAAATAATGAAAGATAGTTGGGCCTATAATTTGAGACATATGACGGATAACTGAGTGTTTTAAAAAGGATGAGAGGAAAATGCTCCGAAAGAGGCAGAGACAATGCTGAGACTGCCCACCTGGAAGACACAGCCACCTCTTAAAGTATTACAGGGAAGACCTACGGGAGGACCCAATGTTTTGAGGGAAAATAAACTTCAGAGCAGAGCTCATCTCTGTAATTGTGACTGCTTTTCCATGTGTGTCTTCACTGATGAATTCTGATTTTCTTCCATGAACTTGTTCCAGTGCTCAACCTGGTGTCAGATACGTGTTGGCAGTGTTGGGATGTGATCAAAAAGAATCCACATATATGTGGCTGTCTCACGTTTCCTGTGTTGGGCATGGAAATGATAAAGAAATAGAGGTGATATGGAATCGACTATGTTGGGGAGGAGCTGATAGAAGACCTCAATTCCTTAGGAAGTAGGAGGGAATTAGAGTCACAGCATAAGAGTAGGCAGTACTTTTACATAAAAAGAGGTATGTCTGTGACCTTGTAAATAGAGAAAAGGGAAGGAAAAGTGGAGATTCTCTCATTTTGCCCATTTGGACAGGGACTTGAGTGAGTTCCTCTGTGATAATTTGTCTTCTTCTGAAGTGGGTGACGTGGTCAGCTGCAGTCAATAAGAATCCCAGTTCACAATAGTAGGCTGTAGATTGTAGTATGTGATTTTATTTTGTAAATCAAATTTATAAAAAATAAATAAGTTCACTCACCTGCTTAATGGGTGATTTCATCACATCATTTCTAGGATTCCTTACCCCCTACCAAATATAGAGTGGATTAATCCTGTATTTATGCTGCCAAAACTTGGAGAGAGGGAGTATGTGTGTGTTCCGTGGTGTCCACATGCATCAGCTTTGCTTAGATGCTGAGACTACTGAGTGCTCCTCCCCACATCTTTTCCTTAAGTAGAGCTGTTTCAGACAGACTCAAGTGCTCCCCACAGAGGACTTCCCACTGACTACAGACTCCTACCCTCTCTCATGCTACAGAGTACTGTGTACATTAACAGACACCAACCTCTGAAATTTACCCCCCAGATTCCACTTGTGTGGTGTAACTAAATATTCTTACCAGTTTTGTTCCTACCAACTCTGACAGACAGAAGCATTCTATCCCTTGCTCTGAAAAGATTTGTAATATCCTCAAAAGATTTTTAGAAATCAGTTGCTGACCTATTTCCATGATACAATAAAAAGATGCTAAAATCCATTAGTCTTTTCCCTCCTTAAAATATACAATTTTTACTTAAAAAATTGAAACAAGAAGTATGCTTTTTCACTCTTAAATTTCTATATGCTGGGGTTGGTGCTGTGGCAGAGCAGGTTAAAGCACTGGCCTGCATGTGGGCACCAGTTCAAGTCCCAGCTGCTTCACTTCTGATCCAGTTCTCTGTTATGGCCTGGGAGAGCAGCAGAAGATGGCCCAAGTCCTTGGGCCCCTGTACCAACATGGGAGACCTGGAGGAAGCTCCTGGCTCCTGGCTTCAGATCAGCTCAGCTCTGGACGTTGCAGCCATTTGGAGAGTGAACCAGTGGATAGATGATCTTGCTCTCTCTCTCTCTCTCTCTCTCTGTCTCTGTCTTCAGCTCTCTCTGTAACTCTGTCTTTCAAATAAAACAATTTCTTTTAAAAAAGCTTCTACATGCTTCAGGGTTCGAAAACTCTAATGTTTTGTGCTGTAGAATAATACACAGTAAATATACCTTTGTAAAATTACAGAATTAATTATCTAGGGCAGAAAAACATAATGAAAAGGAATAATTAGCGTTCAGAACTACTGTTTCTTGATTACACTGATTGTACTTTAACTTTCCTCATTAAATGGCCAACATGTTATATACATGGCAAATGCCATGATGGATTTTTCTGTTTTGTTCTTTTAGGTACTGTGGCTATAGACTTGCAAGACACGAGCTGTAGATCAGCAAGTGGCCCTACCCTGACTCTTCCTGTAGAGGGAAGTAAAGAAGTAAGAAGACCTAGCATTGCTCCTGTTTTAGAGGTTGCAGATACATCATCAATTCAAACATGTGATCTTCTAAGTGACCAATCAGAAGATGAAAATACACCAGATGAAGAAATATCCTCGAACTTGGAGTATGTTTAGATACTCTATGGTGTAATATATCTGAATTTAATGCTAATATCATTAAGTAATGTGTCTAGGCACTTTACCCACAGACAAGGAGTAATATTCTTACTTTGTGGACATTCTAGAATCATTCCTATGTACTTTTACCAAAACATCCTGTTTGCCCCATGTCTCTTGCCTACAAAGCATTCTAAGATTCCATGTTTCTAATTTTGATATAGGTATTTCCAGACTCATTTTTCTCTAAATTATCTTTTATTCTTAAAGAAAAAAATAGATATCAGAATTCCTAGGATGCATACTCCATTTTCATAATTGTACACTTTTTATTATATTTTATCTACTACGTCTGATTTCTTTTATTCTATATCATAATGAAATCTGATCAGTTACTCAGTGGCGTGCAATAGCAGTCTCCTCCCGTAAGCTATACTTACTTCTCTCTGCTTTTGCCAGCCTTTTTCAGGTAGTATGCCTCAATAATATTTTAAATTTATGAGTAAGGATGTATTACCTTCCTTTTTTAAGCGTTCATAATAATACAGTATTAATCTGTGTAGTAGTAATCACATTTCAGCCTGAAGTAGAATCTGTTTTGTGTGTTTTATTCTGCATATTATGTCACCATCCCCTGAGGAAAGCATTGTGGCTTACAGCTTGACTGTGGATCTGAAAGAATGTTTTCTGTGCGAGTTCTACTTTATGCCATTTGTCTGGAAATGACTTTGATTAACATATGGCTTATAATTTCTGTACCTGTAAACTCAGTTTGATTACTACCTCATAGGGTGATATGAAGATTAATTGAAATAAGGGAAAAAAGTGCTATGACAATTCTTTCTGTACAGTAAGCATTCTGTAAGTATTAAGTAGGACCAGTAGTTGTACTGGTATTAATGGCATTGATAATATCATCCCCTAACATTTTCCCAGTATCTTTCACATAAATTCAATTATTGCTGACTTGAACTAAATATATATTTGTGAACTATAGGTTGGGTGAGGTTTGAAAACCAGTATCTTTCTAGGAAATGGTGTTTTGGGATGTGACTTAAATTGTTTCCTCACACTTATTTCTGAAATAATTAAGAAGTAGTAGAGTTTTATTTCTAGAAAAATAAAAGATATTAAAAATAATGGCAGAGATTATCTGCTTATAAATTTGCAAAATGCTCTGATGTTTGAGCCAATGATACGTGGGAAACAGTTTCAAATAAGTCTGAAACTTCATGATTTTGTAGGTAAATAAATTAAAATTAAAAATGTCCCTAATGGATAAAAGAATATCACTTTCATGGAATTCTCCTTGATTTACTAATTTTTATTCATGTTACTACTTCTTAGAAGTTCCACTTTCAATATCATATAACCAAAATGTGCATGTGGCTATATTTTAAAAGGCGGTAAACAAACTGAATGTCTTTGAAAATCTTTTAAGTATGATTCCAGCAAAAACTGCTTTTAACTAATTAACTCAATCATTTATCCCTTTTGGTTATGCTTTACTGAATAATGACAAAGTGAATCATAATGCATTTGATTTTAAATGTGGTTTATAATAGTTAATACTACTTGTTGAACATATATCTAAATCTTCTAAGCTGAGAGATGTCAAACTTTTCTAGAAAGAAAATGCTAATCAGTATTTTAGGCTTTATGGTCCCATTTGTAGTTACTCAGTTCTGCTGTTGAAGCACAAAAGTAACTTTGCACAAGATAGAGGAGTGAGTATGGCTGTGCTGCAGTAAAGCTTTGTTTATGCATACTGAGGCTTTAACGTCATATCATTTCCACATCACATAAAATAGTATTATTCTCTTTCTTTCTGTCTTTCTGTCTTTCTGTCTGTCTTTCTGTCTTTCTGTCTGTCTTTCTGTCTTTCTGTCTTTGCCAATTGAAAATACAGAAACTATCCTGAGCTGGCAAAACTCTGTGGTGAGCCAGATTTGGTTCTTGGGTTGTAGTTTGCCCCCCACTGTTCTAGACCCTTGTCAAAATATAATTGTAATATAAGGAGTTACTGATTTTTACATTTTGTCAAGGCAGAGGAATGTGTACGTTATTAACGATCCTCCTTTGCATGCCTTACCCAAAGGTAACAGCTCACCTTGTTCACAGGTATGCGAAAGGCTACCCGCCATACTCTCCCTACATAGGAAGCTCACCCACTTTTTGTCATCTCCTTCAGGAAAAAGTGCCATTTTGCTGCTTAAGATTAGACAAGGTAAGTACTTGTTGCTTCTATTTTCTGCAAAATTAAAATTATTGCATTTTACAAGTCCATATAGTTAAGCAATTTGCATGGTGTTTTGATTGAAATCTATTTAAAGGTATTGATTTTCATGTGTAAGTTTAATTGCATGAAGTCCTAACTTTTGGTTTTTTAACTGCAGTAAGATGCTTTTCCCTTCTCTAAATTTCCAAATGAATCACTCAGTCATATTTTCAAAGAGGAAAGTGGAGAGGTGCCAAAATCTCAAACGTAGACACCTTCCATATTCCAAGTCTCCCAAAATTGCCTTGGCCAAATGTGCATTATTTATTTGACTGTGGCTGCTTCAGACTGCAGTGTGGAGTTCCTCGGCCTGCTAACGGGTTATCTATGTGTGAGGTACAAAGATTCATGACCATGCTAGAAAGTCGAATTGCCTTCCTTAACTCCTCCTTTCCCAAATTTTGATGCAGTTCTTTGTCTTGCCTGCATGTTCTGGGGAAGCCATCCAAAACTGGAAACTGCCAAGAACACCAGCATTCTCCTCTTTTTCACAGTAGAATCACTGTGCTTGACCTGTTTGTGTTTGTCTTTCTGAAAAACAAAAAAAAGTTGAGTGTTACACTCTCCCTAGAGATTTGAACTTGCCACTATTCTAGCCATGTACTTTTTCTTTTATTCTAAATTTTGAAGTTAGAATTAAAACTCCAGCTGTCTGCTTATAAGCTGTGAAGCTTGGGCAAATAACTTCACCAATAAATTTCAGTTTCCTAATCTATGAAATGAGTATAATTTTAGCTTGAGCTTTATAGGACTTTGCTAAGGATTATATAAATCAACCCATGTTTAGTGCAGTGCCAGGAACTAAATAATGGCATTGATGCTTGATATATTTTGCTGATATTCTTGCTATTATTTTTATATGATAATCATTATAAATGTGGCTGTTGCTGTCACTTGTGAGGAAGAGATTCACACATTAGGAAATTGCTGCCTTTATCTCCCTGAAGGTGCTTTGTGAATCTTTGCCATTGCTCCTAAATATTCATCTGGACCCACTGCGAAGGATGAGTCCATCTCTCAGGGTCTTAATATTTTGCTAATGTTCTGAAACCATTGACGTTTCCACCCAGCTCTGTGATTTGGTGATCCTAATCAGTCATGAATTTCACAGCCCTTTCCCTGTACTGGCCACTTCCAAGACTAAGTTTTCCTATGACTAATTTTTTTTTTTTATTTTAACAATTTTATTCCAGATACATTCTTTTTTTTTTTTAACTTTTATTTAATGAATATAAGTTTCCAAAGTACGAATAATGGATTACTATGGCTTCCCCCCCATACCGTCCCTCCCACCCACAACCCTCCCCTTTCCCACTCCCTCTCCCCTTCCATTCACATCAAGATTCATTTTCGATTATCTTAATATACAGAAGATCAGCTTAGTATACCTTAAGTAAGGATTTCAACAGTTTGCTCCCACACAGAAACATAAAGTGAAAAATAATAGATGATTTTTTTTAAATGATGATGAAATCAGATCAGACCTATTGTCATGTTTAATCCCAGTGAGAGTCAAGTTGGGAGTTGATAGTTTCTTTTCTTTTCTTTTCTTTTTCTTTTTTCTTTTTTTTTTTTTTTTTACAGAGGATCAGTTTAGTATGCATTAAGTAAAGATTTCAACAGTTTGCACCCCCATAGAAACACAAAGTGAAATATATTGTTTGAGTACTCGTTATAGCATTAAATCTCAATGCACAGCACATTAAGGACAGAGATCCTACATGAGGAGTAAGTGCACAGTGACTCCTGTTGTTGACTTTACCAATTGACACTCCTGTCTATGGCAACAGCAATCCCCCTATGCTCCAGTCATGAGTTTCCAAGGCTATGGAAGCCCCTTGAGTTCTCCGACTCTTATCTTGTTTAGACAAGGTCATAGTCAAAGTGGAGGTTCTCTCCTCCCTTCAGAGAAAGGTACCTCCTTCTTTGAAGACCTGTTTTTTCCACTGAGATCTCACTCACAGAGATCTTTTGCCAGAGTGTTTTGATCCTATGACTAATTTTTTACATGTGATATTTTTGTTGTTTTCCTTAAATCGATTCCTAAAATATATACTTTAGGTGCCATACACCTGGACTAATTTCTGGTGACCTTTCTTTCTTTCTTTATATGCAGTTAAAAAGGGAAAAAATATTAGGAGACCAAAGAGTAGAAGTGATTTCTCTCCGATGGGGAATCTGATCCAAGTGGAAAGCTCAGCTTTCAAGATGAGGATCTGTGGCGAGGCGATAGAGGATTGTTGAAAGTCGGAGACTGTTAACTGTCTTTACAATACTCCTAAAGCAGTTTCTGAGTGTGGCAGATTGACTGATGACAGCTGAGATGAGAGGTAGCAGGAGGCTGGAAGAGGCGGTCTGCCTTATAAATGAGTGTTGGGTTTATGGGAGGGGTTTTTCAGCTGACTCTACTGTGTTGTGAAGTATGTGGTTGGGTTCACGTTGCCCAGCTCATTCAGCAGTATCAGCAGGCTGGTGTTGGACAGGGTGATCAACATTACATTCTCTCTCTCTCTCTCACACTCATTCTCCCCCCTCTCTCTCTTTAATTACTACTAATTGGACTTCTCCAAGTCTCTTTAGGGTAAGTTTTATTTTTCCTTCATCTGTCTCATCAGTAGTAAAGTTTATAATGATCTAAACATCTACCCACCACAAGTCTTCTATGAACTTTTTTTAAGTGACCTTATTTCTTCATATGCCTTCAGATTCTGCATATATTAATAATTCTCTAAGCACCCATTCTTTATCATTTTCTTTCTATTCATTCTTTTTTATGTCTTAAATCTTCCTTCTGTGTTCATTTCCCTTCTTCATAGATTAGAACTTCTCCTTTGAAATTTTGCTAATGGGATTCTACTGGTGACAAATTCTCTCAATTATAGTTTTCCATTAAATGTTCTTATTTTGTCCTCATTCTTGAAATACAGCTTTGCTTGGTGTCCAATTCCAGGCTATTCTTTTTTACTTTCAGTATTTTCTTTAAGAGACTTTATTTATGGCCTTCTGTGCTCTGTGTTAGTGTTGAGAAGTCAGCCATAATTCTCTTTGTTGCTTTTCATAGGGCATCTTTCCTATCTCTGCAGCAACTTTTAAGATCCCTTTGTCTTAGTTTTGCATTTTCATTATGAAGTGCATGACTGTGCAATTCTCTCCTTATTTAGATTGAGATTCTTCATTTTCTGAAACTGAAGATCTTTGGTTCTCATCACTGTGTTGATAGAAATAAACAGGTTCTATGAACAGTGTAATGTAAGGATTATTTAGGGAAGAATATGAGTTATCAAGGTCCAGGAAGACACAAGCCCAGTAACTTTTTTTTTAACTTTTATTTAATGAATATAAATTTCCAAAGTACAGCTTATGGATTACAATGGCTTCCCCCCTCCCATAACTTCCCTCCCACCCGTAACCCTCCCCTCTCCACTCCTTCTCCCCCTCCATTCACATCAAGATTCATTTTCAATTATCTTTATATACAGATCAGTTTAGCATATATTAAGTAAAGATTTCAACAGTTTGCACCCACATAGAAACACAAAGTGAAAAATACTGTTTGAGTACTAGCTATAGCATTAAATCACAATGTACAACACATTAAGGACAGAGATCCTACATGAGGAGTGGGTACACAGTGACTCCTGTTGTTGACTTAACAAATTGACAGTCTTGTTTATGGCGTCAGTAATCACCCTAGGCTCTTGTCATGAGTCGCCAAGGCTATGGAGGCCTTTTGAGTTCGCCGACTCTGATCATATTTAGACAAGGTCATAGTCAAAGTGGAAGTTCTCTCCTCCCTTCAGAGAAAGGTAAGCCCAGTAAATTTTAAGGAGTCTTTGGAAGTGTTCCAAAGTGGTGAAATTATACTCAGAATTTGGGGAGTGCATTTAGTTCAGGGCCTAAGGTGCTGCTTTCAATGCTTTTAGCCTAGTGATTCAATTCAAGTCTGGCTCTGCTTCATTGTTTTTCTCTAGTGGCCATCTTAAAAAAGAATAAAAATAGAAAAGAAAAATCATTTGTGTTTCCATGACAGTAAATTTTCATTTGTTGTTCCATAGTGAACATAGATTGGTTTGCCCAAACAGGTGAGCTTTATGTGTGAGGAGACCAATATCTCACTGATTTGAGATTACTGTTTTTAGAACCTGTTTCCAAAGTCTTCAGAGAAAAGATAAGCTGCAGACTGCTAATTAATTTTTAAGGACATTTCTGTGATTAGAGAGGGAATGTATAGATGAAGAAAACAGGATTGTACAGGTTTTCTCCAAACTGAAACAGAGTCTGGTCCAACATTTTTAACAGCACATAAAACAATAATATAACAAAAAGGGTAAGAACTCTATGTCCTAGAGAAAAGGACATTGAATTCAAAGGTAACCTACATCCCAATCAACCAAAAATTTCCCTACAAGCTTTGTTCTCTGTTATCAACTCCAATATTTGTTTGATTTCTTCTATCTGTCATCATCTGGACCTGTGGTGACCATCATTAGAGGTTTGTAGTATTGTTAAGTCTTATTTTTTCAGTCCAGATAATTTCTATTGGAATTACCTCATTGGGGGTGGGGGGTGGGACTAAGGGTGGTGTCTCTGGAAGTCAAAGTGGATTTATTAAAAGGAATATGCTTAGCATGAGTATTTAATAAAATTAAAATACAATTCTATTCATATCATAACCAGTTAGAACAGATTCCAAGGATAATTCCAACTGTCCCAAGTAAGCTCTGTAACCAGTAAAACAAGACATTAAGGGTCAATATATAGGGTAACAGTGTATAGGTCAAAAGCAAAGCAAATCCTAGAATTCTAAGAGTTAAGTCTGTTTGGTCTTTCTATCTCCTATAATTAAGACGGCATTGGTGATGGCCTAAGAAATCCACATTGTTTCGAGGGTCATGTCAGGTGCATGCTTGAGGTGTGAAATGTGCATCTAAGAGGTGACTCCTTTCACTTTAGCCATGCAGTAGGAAGTAACAGATACTTGATAGGCTCCTTCCACGAAGACTATAGGCCCAGGAGTCAGTCCCTGGTCTTTGATGTCTTTCTCTCTTGGGAGCTTACTGGGAATTTAGCTGTTTTACGTGGGAGCTCATGATTTTGACGGATGTTCCTTTTTCCCTTTTAGTATAGTCCAGGACAGTTGTTCAGCTGAAGTCCCCAGTGTCTCAGTGAGAACAGATACCCAAGTTATACTTTCTCTTTTTATTAGGGTAGTTAGTTCTTTATCAAGCTGTTCTGTGGAGCCCGAATTTAGGATGACACTTCTGTGATTTTCAAAATCCTGGAGTGTTGTTTGAAGATCTTTTTAAAACAAGTATAAAACTCATGAAGAATTTCATTGGGCTGTATCTTACACTATTGTATCTCACTTTTTTAGTCCAATATATTGCTCTAGGAATAATGTTGGATAGCACCGAACACACTCAACCACCAATCTCCCTATAAGCATTTTAATAATCAGCATCTGTTTTCTTCCACTCTGTTAACCTACAGCATTTTTTCATTTACTGCCCAGTGCCAGCTAAACTAACTGGTATACTTTAGAGTATCCAGGGTAATAAGTCTAAAGAGTAATTTAAAATTCTTTTGCAAATCCTGCTGAGTATTGGATTTGATCAATGACTCCTGAGACAAAAGTTTTAATTCTGTTTTTGGTGAGAGATGATACTTGGTTCTCAGTGTCCAGTGAGCTCTTCATCCAGAGTCATAATAACTCTTCATCCAAGTTTTCATTAATAAGTTCAGGTGGAAGGGGAGGGGGAGAATTAATATCTGAGGCAATTCAGTGGGGAAGGCAACAGATAGTGAGAAGCTGTCAGTAGGTTGAGCAGTCACACAAGTTTAAGGGCGGTTGATTTTTGTACTGCAGCTTCAATTGCCCTTTAAAGTTCAGAGACAGACACAATCATTTTCTTCTTTGCTTCTTGTAGTGAGACTCACTTAGCATCTGTTCTTTTTGATGTTCCAAGGTATCAGTCAAGACAACTTCCCATTCTTTATCTTCTGATAGAGTGTACCATTTCTAATTTTGATGTACAAAAATTTGTTTTGGAATATCAGATGTTCCTCTTTGAGGACATTTAAGATTTAGATAATCTTTTATAAGGCTTTCTCTATTTGCTTAATTAGTTGGCATATAATGGCATCATAGTTGCTGAACATAAAGCCAGCTGGTAGAAATGGGTTGATCCTGTTTTCTTGTCCTTCAGATTTTGAAATTCCATTGCCCATGTTTGGAGGAGAGGGCTGGTAGATTGGCCTCAAGTAAAATCATGTATGGTGATAAGAATACGCTGCTCTGGGGAATTTTCTTGTTTTTTTTTTTTTTTTTTTTTTTTTTTTTTTTTTTTTTTTTAAGTAATTTTTCAGTTTTCTCTCATGGAACCTATGTTTCTGGGAGGGCTCCGAGTGCAAGGTGATCCGCGCTTCTATGCACTTCCCTGATGAGTTTACTTTAATTAGCTGGTTGGATTTCCCTCAAAGGTTGCTCACACCATGGGCAATCTCCCCTCCAACACACCCATGGGCCTGTGATTAGCATGAAATGACTTTTGGCTGGGAGGAACTGGAGTCTCATCCCTTCAGAGCTAATGAACTCAGTCTCTCATGTTTCCTAGCAAAAGTAGGCCAGTTCAAGCTCTCTCCTGGTTTTTTAACAGATAATCAAAGTGATCAAGGAGGAAAGACCACTTAGATGCTTGACTTACAGCTCTGAAAAAGTACTCATGGTTTCTGTATACGATAAACAAAAAATGAGCTAAGAATACTCCGTGGGGGACCATAGACCCAAATAGGGGAGGTCTAGGAGAACATAACATTCCACCCCAGGGAGAAGCTCAGGATCTGAGAGGCACAGGGGACCTGTGTTGGTGCCAAGTGCAAATTAGGACAACTGTGGGAGTCCCAGGTCTTCTCTGAGGCCCCCGTTGAATGCCAATGAATTGTCAATGGAAATAAACAGGTTCATTTATTATTACACAGTGGATATGCATTGCCTTGGCCAGAAGAGGAAGGCTTCAGGTAAGCAGGGGTGAATTTCTCATATGCTGGAGGCTACTCTTCTTAGAACATGCTTGGTTACAGATACCTTTAGGGTGTGCTGACAAGAGACAATTGATTAATTTTAAAGACATTTTTGGGAATAAAGAATGAATAGATAGAGTTGTGTAAGGCTGTTCCAAATGACTAAGAAAAAAGAAAATTTTTATACAACCATCATTCAAGGTGATTTCACCTGGTAGATAAGATTACTAACTCTGCCTGGGCACTCCTAAAATGGGTCTCAGGAAGTGACTGATTTGCAGGCTTTTAGGGACAGTTAGTTATCAACTTATAGAAAATACTTACTTGACTCAGGCTTTTTTTCTGATTCTCTTTTGCCTGTTTCTGCAGTTATTCTTATTAAATATATGCTATATCTTCTTATACTATCTTGTAAGTCTTTCAGTTTTTTCAACTAGTTTCTTTGTGCTGCTCTCTCTTAAATTTGAGCAATACCTTCAACTCTGTCCTGTAACTGATCCTTTGACTGCATTATATCTGTGGTTTAAATGATCTTCTGGGTTACACCATTTAGTTTTAGAACATATACAAAAATAGATGGGGATTTTTTCCTCATTTTCCTGGATTTTAAGTAGCTTCTTGTTCTTTGTTCATAATTTAACTACTTTCTCTTATTTCTTATTAAACACGCTCATTTTCTGTTGTGACTCTAATAACAGCAGAATTTACAGTCTTTATGGGTCCAATTATTTTGTTCATTGCTTTTGCTTACTCATGGTGCCTTGTTCCATCAGTATTCGTAATTTTTATTAAGGAACAATGGCAAAGAATATTCCAGAGGTGATGAATCCACAGAGAATCAAATAATCTCAAACCAAATAAATAAAAAGATATCCACGTAGAGACTTACAAACATGAAAGAGCAGACTGCCAGAGTAATTTTCCATGCTTATAATTTTAACTTACAATAGTGTTGGTTTAATAATTCTAGTTGCAGCAAGTTCTAGACTTGCAGGAAATCACGAAATACACGAAGCTTTGGCTTTGTGTTTTTATTGTTATTGTTGTTAGTGTTATGCTTTTATTTTTCAGCATTTGCATCATTATTTTATTGCTTAGGTATACATTTAGAAAGTTAAAGGTTTATTGCTTCTGTTTTGTTTCTTCTTAACTAAATCGCTTTAGACATTCAGTAATTGGGATGTTCCCGATGCTTCTTTTAATAATGATATTATCACATTTCTCGAATGAAAGCCGGAAGTAGATTTTTTTGTGGAAATGTAGATACCCAGATGTTATCTAGCATCAAGTTGTAGTTTGCAGTAAAACATGTATACTCACATATTGCTGACTCTTTCAACACCATGCTATATACCTGTGACTCATTTCCTTGGTACTACACACCTTTGCTTTCCACTAAAAAATGGAGAATTTGGCACACAAAAATATAACTTTTCAGTCTTTTTAGAAAGTAAGAATTTACTTGATTAGTTTAATTTTACATTTCCATATATCCAGATTTTTTTCACCAAATTTTAGTGGAGTATAAAAATGGCATTTCTTTGTATAATTTTTTTCTCTAGAGTTGCCAGCATAACTACTATGAGGACGCAAAAGCCTATGGATTCAAAAATAAGCTAATTATAGTTGCAGCTGAAACAGCTGGAAATGGATTGTATAATTTTATTGTTCCTCTCAGGGCATATTATAGACCAAAGAAAGAACTTAATCCCATAGTACTGCTATTGGATAACCCGTAAGTATATTTTAAAATACACAAAAAAGAAAATAGTTTTTTATATTATATTGTGTACAAAAATAATTGAATTTAATTTGCTGGTAGTATTTAAAATAAGAGACACTACGATACATGTTTCATTGGGAGACATATTCTGTGCTATGCTACAAGAAAATCATTGAATATGGTTATGTTTCATAAATACAGCTAAATAAGTCCTGGAATACTCTAAGAATTTTATTTAAAGCTATCTTGCAAGTCTTTATGTGCTCGTAATATTATGGGAAAAAGGCTGTTGAAAGAATTCTGGCAATTTTCCTTAAATTAATCAGCCTGAAAACTGCCAAAACTGGATTACTTGTAGTCTTTTTAAATAACTGTTAATTATCAGAAAAGCATTTACTGATCCACTTTTACCTACTATACCATACAGCAGCAGTATAAGCTGTTATGAGTATACCACTGTTAAAACATACATACTATAAAGTAATAAAATGATCCTTTCTCACATGCATTTATCTTGAAAACATTGAATTGATTTACTTTTGTTAAATAAGACTATTCGAGCATTTCAGTATCCCTTTTCTAAAGACTTTTTTTATTTATCAATCTGAAATCCAGAGTTACAGAGAAAGAGAAGGAGACAGAGAGAGGGCTGGGCCAAGCTCAAATCAGGAGCCTGGAACTCCATCCAGGTCTCCCACATGGTTGCAGGGGCCCAAGTACTTGCACCATCTTCTGCTGCTTTCCCAGGTGCATTAGCAGGGATTTGGATTGGAAGCAGAGCAGCGGGACTTGAACCAGTGCTCATAGGGGATACCAGCTTTGTAGGCAGCAGCTTAAACCACCACACCACAATGGTGCCTCCTCAAAATTGTTATTCAGATATTAACATAGGGCACTGTATCCCTGGGCTAAAGTTATTTTATTCTAAAATTATTATAACCTTGCCTGGAAATTAATGGCAGATGATCCTTAGATCAGTATGCTGCCTTAGGATCCTCCCAGTCTGCTTATTCATTCCAAAGTCATGCAAATTTTAGGATAAACTAAATGAATTCAAATTATGTTACCCTATCTTTGCCTTTTAAAGAAGTTTCTCACAGCAGAGATACCTCTCCAATATATTATCATTTCATTGTAGTGTTTATACTGAATATACTGTTATCAAAATACTCATTGCTAACTCTTTGTGGCATCATCATGACAGTGATGATTGTCTCTAAAGGCTGAGCACACTTGTGTTTTCAGGAGACAGATTTTCAGCTGTGATGACACAGTGCCTGTTTCATAGTTTTTTGGCAGATAAGCAAAGGGGAGGCTTATTTAGGGTAGGTGGTGTAGGGTTGGTGGGTGCAGAAACTTGTACCTGAAGTCTAAAGAAATACAAATTGTAAAACAAGCAGTAGAGCAAAAATTAGGAAGCTGGTGTTGTGGCGCAGTGGGTTAAGCTGTACATATTGGAGTGATGATTCCAGTCTCGGCTCTCCTGCTTCCAATCCAGCTCCCTCCTAATGCGCCTGAGAAGGCAGCAGAAGTTGGCCCAAGTGCTTGTGGCCAGGCCACCCATGTGTGAGACCCACATTGAATTCCTGGCTCCTGGCTTCAGCCTGGCCTAGAGCTGGTTTTTGCAGTCATTTGGAGAGTGCACCAGTAGATGGAAGATTCTCTCTCTCTCATTCTCTCTCTCTCTCCCCCTGTCCCCTCTGTCCCTTCTGCCCCCTCTGTCTTTCAAATAAATAAATAAATCTTTTTTAAAAAGAGAGAGAGTAAAGTTTGGGCTATGTGATGGCTGTGGCCAGAGTGACCGGAAGGCCCATCCGAGGCGTTTCTGAATGGGGCCTTAATTCTGAAGCATCTCAGGTGGGGAGCTCCGAGGGCCAGGCTGAGCAGCACACAGAGACCTCCAGCTGATTGTGTGAATTCTAATGTGTCAGACTTGTGCACAATTGCTTAGTGATGTGTCCACTTACCTAGAGACAGTATGTAAGACAGGGCTGTTCGAAAATTGATTGCCTTAGGGAAGCCCTACTGTATGGATCAAACTGAATCAGCTCAGGTCTGAGGTAACACAGAGGAAGACAGGAAGGAAATTGAGAGTAAAGAAGTGGGAACTGATGATAAGGCCAAGGGCAAAATTGTCTGTTCTTCTTTATATTTATTTATTGCAAGATCCAATTTACTGATAAATTTTCTCATAAACCAATTCCCTCCCCCATTAGTCTCTCCAAATTTAGTAATGGAGTTCACTTTGGACTCCTCTTTTTCGGTCTCCAATCTGGTAAATAATCCTATCTCAGAATCCTTAATTCCCTCTTTTTGCCCTTCTTATCCACCGGAGCTCATGATGGCGCCCAAGCCCTCTTTTGCAAGTTTACTTCGTGTAAATTGTAGGGGACAATAACAAATCAGTCCCTTTCTGTTCGGTTTTGATTAAAAGACTTCTAAAGTCTCTGATTACTGAAGGGTTAGTTGATCTGGCTATGAGAACTATAAAATCAAGTGGTGGTTTGTATAATCTTAATTCTTGGATTTGACTAATAACTGAAAAATCTGAAAATTCTACTTCTCTTAATTACTGGCAAACTGGTCAGTATTTCTGTATAAATATAGATACCGCATTTATCAAAAAATATTTTATCACAGACCATAAAGATCTATTAATAAAGCTGATATTCTTTAGGTCATTTAATAAAAGTTAATATTCTTTAATACTCTTAATATTCTCTACCCTCTGTTCATAAAGATAACTGTTAAGTATACTGTACATGTTGTTCATGATATTATACACTTTAACTTCACTTTCCATTTGATTCCCATAAGAAATGCATTTACATTAAAAACTGATGATTTATTAACCAGTTCAAAATCTCCAAGATTATGAATTACAACGTGAACTTTAAATAACTGAAAGACCTGTGACTTAGATATATCACTACCTCTTGTTTTCCAGATAATGTAAAACAGTCCCAAAGAAGTTAAATGACCTCTTCCGAGGTCAATTCTAGGATTAGAACTTCCTATGTAATTCCTAGCTTATTGTTTTTTCAACTCTATGATATTACCTAATGTAGTATTGATAAATGAAAAATAGAATTTGTCAGTTATATTTTAACTGCATTATTTTTGCATTGAAAATGCCCTTTGCCTTCCTTATGGCTGGAGATTCTTGTGGGGTTTGATTTTATTTCAATTTATTACATCATTATAATATTATAATTATTTCAGCTTATTTATTAAGTTGAAGATACATGCTGTAAAATCTGTAAGCTCCCTGTGTATTGCCCAAAAGTGTTCTCTAATTTTTGTTATCATTGTGATGTTCTCTGTTTCTTTGGCCAACAGTGAGTAAACACAAACAATACCAATAAATAGTGTTCCAGGAAGTTTTATGCAAGCCTTAAACAAATGAGGTATCTGTTGCTCTGAAATGGCTAGTATTTTTCTGTTTATCCTAAAGCATTATGAAAGTTATGTTTTCTTCTTTAAAATATTCCCAAGCTGTAGGGATTCATAAAATTATGATTTACTAGTATCTACTTCTACAATTATTCATTAGTTCAGGGGATTGACCTTATTTTAAATTCATATGGGCATTGTTTAAAACAACATTAGGTATATGACTATTTAGGAAATTCAGTTGAAAGATCAATTAATTCAATAAAAGATAAATAACAGATGTCATAAGTACATAGGTTTAAAATATAAATTAAATTTATAACATTCACACAGATAATATTCCAAAAGAAGCATTCACAATATTTTCAAATAGAAAGAATTTTAGTTCTAAAATGGCAATTAAGTAAAAGTCATATTGAAAAACATCTTTCACATGGGACTGTCTCATTAGAGCAGGTGTCAGCTCAAATTTGTTGGCCATCTGTTCTGTTTGGTCTGCTTTGCCATCCTGATTTTAAATATTTTCATTATCACTACAACCTAAAGGTCAGCTATTCATCTTATGACACCATTTCACATGAAAGAGAGAAAAGTAGGTAAAAAGCTGGAATACGTTTCCCAAAGCTGCACAAAGATGAGGTGCAGGATCCAGGCTTGTGTTCTTCTTACCTTCCAGCAAAATCTTGTTTATACCTCCCATTTGTTACATCAGTCTTCCCTTCACATACAATGCCAAGTCGACTTCAGTTTGCAAAGTAATGGTAAAACATCTGGTAGATCAGATCTGAGATAAGATCTAAGCCTATCTTATTGATATGAGCCTCAATTTGCTGCTTTGTAAAATGGTTAGAGACTATGGAAGATAATGTTATTATAAGACTATGAAAGGTAGTGCATATAAACACAAGTGCAATATTTGACATATGAAAGGCAGTCGGAAAAAGTCAATTTTCCTTCTGCCATTCAAGAAAATAGCACTATCTCTACTCAATGTGATGGGTGAATTTGTGTGAAAGCCCAATTAATAAAAACATTTATTTTAAGTAGTTGACATTAAACTTTTATATTTTTAGGAAGAAATAAACTACTTAATAATGGGATTTTGAAATGTTAAGTTGTGCTCATAAAGGCATATCAGACTCATTTCTTGAAGAACTGGAAATAAAAAATTATAGTTATTAATAAAACTGGAAAGAAATAATGGTCTTGAATTTTTCAATTCAATGAAAATTCAGACATCTTTTCAATTCCTAAAAAACGCTATTTAATATTCTCATATAATGGCAGTTTTTATTATGAGATTTTATGAGGATATAGGTTCTAGGTTCATAGTAATCAACTTTCTTAAAAGAACTGCAGAACCTTAATTAACAGTGTATTCTCATTTATCTTCTGTTTGTTAACATCAATTACTTGTCATATTTGTTGAATTCTTTTGTTTATTACTAGTTTTGGCTCGTTGAGTTTTGTTTGTATCTATGCATATTTATTCTGTCATATCTTTAGTTTCCCATCATAGTTATCTTTTTCTTGTTGATTTGAAATATTTCTTCATATTTAAAAAACTTTGATCTGTAAATTTTTATTAATAACAATTTTTGATATATACTTCTTATGTCCAGTTTTTTGTGATGGGCGTTATAATTGAATTTGTCATTTTCACCACTTTCCTTAAGATAGGCTTTCTATATTTAGCAGTCAGATAACAAAAACATACATTTAATTATATTATTTTTTTAATTTTTTTACATTCAACTCTGCATCTATGCTTTATAAGAGGTGTAATGTAACAAAGGACGTCTCTGATATTTGTAAATGTTTTATGGTTTATATAATAATGTCTATGATATAAAAGTTATGTTTGCCAATTAATTGCTCCCCAGCAATGAAAAAGATGAGACTGTTAAGAACATATGATATCCTTTATGTTACTCAATTACTAAGCAAGTTGTTGCTGTATATGATGTGGCCAGTTGCTGGCACAATGCATGTAAATGCACAGTTGATTTAATCTTTAAGTTTCAGGTTTCCTTTGAAACCACCTTTTTCAAAGTAGTAGTGAACTCATCTGTTTGTTATGTAAAATTAAGTATTGCCAAGAATATGGCAGAAACGCCTTAAATAATTAAATTAATCAGTATTGGATATTTACTAGGGTGGGAGGACTAGGTTTACCTTGTAACATAGCTAAATTCATGTAAGGGTGAACCATGCTACCTACAATATAGATGCTGATGCAAATTTCTAAGGATTTGGAAGACTGCTTATTGCCATTTATTTGGGGCAGAATTGCAAGTGACTAAAATTTATGTTTCCTAAAGCAAAACAATAATTATGATGGCCAAATATCTTTTATGATCTCTATGAGAAAAAGCAACAAAATGTCTAGGTCTTATCTTGAGTTTTAACTCCAACAGAAAGGTTGGTATAACACAGAGGCTCATTTTGTCACCCAGTGACCTCAATACTTGTTATTCCACAGAAGATTTCCAACATTTCCATTGAGCTGAGTGGTTCAATAATATTAAATACTATTACTAGGGTTTAGAAGAACAATGTATTACAGTGGATAGAGGGGCAGAGAAGACAGTCCAATGAAATTGAAATGACCTGGATGTAAAGAATGGGCAAGGTAAAAAAGGAAGGTATTCCAATCCAGATATATGTCTGTGATGAACAATGAAGAATGATGGACCCAGTTTACCTAAGTTATTGGCACATGAAATACTTGTTTTGTTGGAGTACAATTATGTATTTATATATATTTATAATGTAATGTATGTTATATACACAAGTATATATGTGGAGTTAGGCACCAAGAGAATAAATTAAAAATAGTAGTGAGAAAACACAAAGGTGGTTTTTCAAACCGCCACAAAATCTCAGTGCTGCTCCACTCTTGTGGGACCTGCATCTCCACAGTTTGGAGGCAAGGGGAGTGAGACACAGAGAGGTCTCAACCAACCATTTGAATGCCCTGCTTATTTCAAGAAGCAGCACAGTGTCTAGAAAGAGGGAAGAGGGAAATCTCCACTGTGTCACAGGCTGCTTCTGGAGTCTGTATTATTATATTTGTTATAAACAACATATATCAGGAGCTTAAAAACTGTTTATAGGCTACAGCTTTCTATATCCCTTCAATGCATGTCCTGGGATAATGGTAATATCCAATGCTAAAGAAAAGTCATCCAAAGCTGTGCATGTTAGTATTATGTTTAGCAGGAAGAGATTGGATGTAACAGATAACTCAATAACTAACAGCAAAAAGTTAAAATAACTGATAAACTAAATAATTGAGATTTTAAAAAAATGAACTGTGATACATTCATAAGCTAATATTGGTCTTTTAACTGACCAAAAAGAAATGGTATGATGGGGATAATTTAGTCAAAATTGTAAAAGCAGTATTACTTAAAAGGTTTTCTTTTTTTATATACTTTACTGAGCATTCATTTTATTTAGAGTGTAAGAGTAGGAGGGTAAATAACAGCAAAAAAAATAAATACAGGAGGAAAAGAGGTGACCCAGCTGGAATGAAGTATCTAGAAAATTGTAGGTCCTATTGGTTTCATTAGACTAGAATTTCCCTTTCCTTCAATTATGCTGGAAACTCACACTCAGCCTGCAACACCCAAATTAAACATCATCTCTAAACTCTTCCCTTGATTTCACCTGTTTACCTAAGTGGATTGTTTATTTTTATCAAATTAAAATACAATATAATTTGAAAATTTTTGTATGTGTTTTAAAAATTGCATTTACAAGTTAACACATTATTGTTTTAATAAATATCTGGGTATATTAAAATGATTTTTAAATAAATTTATGAATAAAAATGTTGAGTTAATAGATTCATGTATGAATTAGTAACTATAAAATTAATACAATAGATTAAGTATGTTTAGGAAACTATTGGGTTTCTAGGTCTTTCTTCAATATGCGAGAAAGATTTCCGTCATAATAAATATTTGCTCAACAATATATATTGGGTAAATCAATAAATTAAAGGGTGAATTCCTTTCATTGAAACTCTACTCTAATACATATTTTGGATGGTGATATGCATATTTGATTTGATCTGTTGATATATTGTAATGTATGCTATGATCATAAATCCCTTATAGAATGTTGCTCTTTAAAGTTATTGATATGCTATAATTAAGTCATCTAAGGAAAAAAAGAACACATTGTTTCTTCATTTTACAAGGCCTTCTCTTTTTTGGATAGCTTTTAAATTCTCTGATAAGGTTCTTTTAGTCATAATTAAGAGCAGTAATTCAGTATTTCTATAGGATTATGCGATAATATTTCTGATATAGAAAGCTGGAATACAACTTCTGAGGTCCATTACAAGTGCAAATGACATTTACTAATGAATGTAATGAAAAAGGGCACTTAAATGAATCTTGTTAGGAAGTGTTTAGTTTCGGAAATGCAAACTAAGTCAACTTACTTCCTTTCCCCAGAAGTGCTGCCACTGTTGTGACATTGTGTTTCATTTTGTAACCCATCTGCTACTTAGGCCAGATATGCATTTTCTGGATGCAATCTGTTGGTTTCCAATGGTTTACTACATGGTGGGCTCCATTGACAAGTAGGTGACAATATCTGGCACAGTGGTGTAGTGTCCTGTGGTTTGCCGTGTGCTGTGCCTTGTTTTTGCATGAGTGTAATTTTGCCATGTCAGTATTGCAAATATGACATACTTTGCATGTAGAGCTTATGTTCTTGTGTTATACATCGTGTATTAAATTCCCTTAGCAGTTGTCTGTTGTTGAAGTAAAACAAATCCTGCTGCATGTCAATTTTGTCAGTTTTGTCAGTTTCTAAAGCTATCAGTTTTGTGTCATCTATATGAATAAAATTATTACTACTGACAGAGTGGTGGGGAAAAAGCCTAAGAATTTAAAATCTTGATGCATTGGTATCATAACTACAGCTTCTGGAAACCTTTAGAATTGTTTAAAAGTACTCATTTTCTTAGTTTTATAAATTGGAGCATTTTCTTAAGAATTTACTTTTATTCCAGGCATATGTCACAGTGTATATAATTTCTTAATTTTTCAATTAAAAGGACACAAGTATATAATTGGTATTAAAATATAAATTAGTGTATGTGCGCCATAGTGAATTCCTAAGATACATTTTAAAATTATCAGAGAGCTAACATAATTGGAATATTATAAAATGTTACTTTAAAAAATTCTGCCACAGCCTTAAAAATGAAATGCTAATATTTATTCATTGGCACTTCAGTGCTTACATTTCACCTTGTAGTGTTAAAAAAAATCAGGTTTTGTATCTTTGAAAGTGTTGATTAGCTGTGAATTTGTGGAAGGTCAATCATGATGAACTATAGTTAGAGTCTATTCTCCATTAATATAACTTGCATCCAGTTCTCATAATACTTGCAAACTCACTAAAATGTAGTGAGATGTGCTAAAATCACCCTTAAAATCCTAGAAGTATTTTCTAACCAGTAATGTAACTTTGGAATTATTAACATTCATTAGAAAATCCAAATATTTAAAAGATAAAGAATACAAATACCCATCTTTTCTGGTGAGTAAAAGATCAAGGAGTGACAAATTCTAGAGTTCTTAATTGTCAACAAGTAAAAAACTGAAGTTTAGTGATGGCACAAGAGGGTTCATTATACAATTCTCTTTTGCTTATTTGACATTTTCCTTAAAAAAGAGAAACAAACAAATCTCTTTGAGTGAATTAAAACACACAGCCACTCACACTGCACCGTTATACACCGTTATTATACACCGTTATACTCCTCGGAGAAGGGAGTTTCAGCCGAGGGGTAGAAAGGCAAGCTTCTCTTGAGTCCCTAACTTTAGTCTAGTTTCCTTCCAGATTGCCTGTCTTGGGCCGCCATCTGGTGGCCAATGTGTGCAAAGCAGCCATCCTGAAGGAAGAACTTCGAAGAGAGGCCTTGCAGATCTGATAGCCATGAGTTACAGGAATATGTTGGTCACTTGCCCAAAAGAAGAAAAAAAAGATTAAGTGCAACATTAATAAACATAAAAATAATAATTTAAAGTCATACAGAAAAATCTACCTGCTGCAGGAATACCATTCCAATATTGTGTATTTCTTATGAATGTAAACTCATGCTTAATTATAATTACTAAAATAATTTTCCAAAGTTAGGAGCAAAATATAGTAGTATCCCAAGGGTGTAACTAACTGGCACATCTGAGTACAGATAGCTGTTAGCAGTTTAGCACAGGTACTCTATGGTGAAATTTGAGGCAAGCATTAACTTCAGCTTATTAAATTATTCCCCATTGAATAGTTATCCTTCCTATCTTAGCTTCCATCCATGTAACCTCATCTAGTCAGTCTCACCTTCTACTGTCTCATCTTCCCCTTTGTCTATTTATTTATCATAGAGATGTTATTTTTATGGGAAAAAAAGATTGTGAGCTAAAATAGGATGAGATGATCATCAAAAATTTTAAGATGGTTTGAAGTCATATGATCTAGGCATCATTTTTATGAGCTACAAGAGACCATATTAAATCCATCTCCATCTGACTCTTCCCTTTTTAAATGTGTTTTGAAAGATGTAAGGACAAGTATGCCAGACTTCCCAGATACAAAAAGGACCCAAATATCCCCATGGCTTTAAACTGGAGGTCATTTATATTTGTTAGATTATGGTCCTGAGCCCTCTTACTATGGGAAATTTATTTGGAATAACATTCTATTTCCACAGTTTTAGCCATAAAATCTCTGCTACAGAACACTGTTCCTAATTCAAGCAAAATATTTTTTCTAGACTACTCTTGGGGATCTTGGACTCAAGGCTTCAGTAATACTCTCTCGCCTAATCACAGAGTAAGAAATTCTGCTTCCCACCTTCCCATAAAAGGAAAATAATTCCCTCAAATGTGAAATGGCTAACTCAACCAACGATGACTTGGGAAAGATCCTCAGCGCCCTGACGCTCCAATTTAAGAATCTATAAGGAACTGCTGTTCTTTAATTTTTATATTTCCTATTTTAAGTCAAAAGATGTGGAAATCAATTAACCCATTTACTTTTGTTTGTTTTCAATCAACTCTGCACCTAGAACATTTTTTTACACATTCAAGTTTAGTCTTCCCCATCCAATTCAGCCCTCCATTTTCTAGTTTGTGTGAAGCAGAAGTAGTGAGAATAATGCTTTCCTTGTTTCAGTGTTGGTGGTAAACTTTTTCTTTTTATTCTTCGGGAGAATAGTAGGTAAAGCGTTTATAAGAGATAGTTTAGGAGAATATAGACTATATTATGGCTCACAGGTGTTTATACCCTGGTTTAGTGATTACTCCAGTAAAGCTAAAGAAATTAGGTTATTCAATCACTCTCTCAAAAACTTAGGCTAGGCAAGCTGTAGGCTGGAGCACAACAGATTCATATGTTTCTTATGCCTGGGCTGTGTAAAACCAGTCTATAACACTTTACTCTTACATAAATAATAGACATTTAAAAATAAACATTTCATAGTTTTATATTTCTTCATTAGATTTGACCACCTAAATTAATACGGCAATTATTTATTTATCTATTCTTACCAAAAATAATTCAGAAATAAAAATATGTAATGCTGCATCTTTGTAATAGTATGTTAACTAAGAAATATTCTAACATGCTCTATTTCTATTTGACTGCCAAATTGGTGTTTCAGTGTTTCATTTATATAATTAAAAGTGATTAAATAATCTTAACATAGATATTCTGAAAACATTAAGACCTAATGAAGTGTAAAGAGCCCAAAATAAAAATTACTTTATCTCAATACATAATATTATAATTCCCAATAATGTTTACCTGTGCAGTCTGTAAAAGTCACCTCTAAGGGCAACTTAGAGAAGTGCAGGGAATAAGAACATTTTAGCACAGATTCTAATCTGGTAATTTGCTTAAAGTCCACTTTTCTCTGTTGATTTTTTATCAAAGCCTAGATGATTTACTCAGGTGTGGAGTGACCTTTGCTGCCAACATGGTGGTTGTGGACAAAGAGAGCACCATGAGCGCAGAGGAGGACTACATGGCAGACGCCAAGACCATTGTCAACGTGCAGACTCTTTTCAGGCAAGTATCCGCGTGGCCCGACCCCATCACTGGCTTTGTGCTGAACAAGTGGACCATGTTTGCATCTGGCCCTGTGTGAGCAATGAACTTGGGGCACTTACACTGACTTAGTTGATTCATTTATTCATTTTATCATTAAAGAAATATTTCTGTGGTACCTGATGTATGAGTGGCACTGCATACAATTAAATTTTTAAAATTAGATCAGTAACTTGTCTTTTTAAAAGAAATAGAATGATATAAGTATTTTCTCAGCTCAGCAATAACACATTGTAAAATATCATGTACAATAGCAATCAAAATTTCAGACAGTCTATCTTTGCTCTAATTTGGCTTCATGCCTGCCACTGATGAGAGGCATACATTTACAAACTGGACAGGTAGGATTGAAAGTTGCCAGGTTTGAGAACAGGTACTTCATGCACGTTAGAAGCAATATCATAGCCTTATCCTCATTATTGTCCTGTCTTGCAATAGTTAAATGAAATATTGAGGTACTAAATTATGAAAGTAAACAAAACAATCTCAACTCTATCATCATCCCAGTCTCCACATTCCTACCTTCATATTGTCCCAGATCATGTATGAAGGTACTTCAGAAGTTTATGGAAAAATAGAATTGAAGATATGTTAAGATTTATTTATTTATTTGAAAGTCAGAGATACACAGAGGAGAGGCAGAGAGAGAGAGAGAGAGAGAGAGAGGTGTCTTCCATTGATGGTTCACTCCCCAATTGGCTGCAATGGCTGGAGCTGCGCCAATCTGAAGCCAGGAGCCAGGAGCTTCTACCAAGTCTCCCACATGGGTGCAGGGGGCCCAAGGACTTGAGCCATCTTCTACTGCTTTCCCAGGCCATTAGCAGAGAGCTAGATTGTAAGTGGAGCATCCGGGTCTCAAACCGGTGCCCATATGGGATGCTGGCGCTTCAGGCCAGAGTATTAACCTACTGCGCCACAACACCGGCCCCATTCCACAAACTTTTAAAAGACTAATGATTTAGGTGCTAATTGTCTCAGTTTTTTAGGTTCAGTTCAGACTTTAGAGATAAGAGCCCCGATGTGAATCTCAGTTAAATTGAATATCTTGGATATAATCTTAGGCAAATTAGTTTCCTCCTCTAAATCTCGATTTCTTAATCACAAGATTACTTGAGATTTAAAAATATGTGTTGCCTGAACACATGCCTGGTTTGTTTTAATTGCTTAATAATTACCAGCTATTGCAATCATTAGCTCTATAATTGTCACTGCCCTGTGGCAGAGGTCTTGAACCCTTCAGCAGCCAACTGAATCCCACAGCTCCCTAGCTTTATATCGTGCAGTGCAACACCTGATGTCAGTAAAATGTGTTTTCCCTTGCCTGGAAAATCAATGATAATATTAACCTGGCTTGGGATGTTAATATCAAGACCAGATATCAGGTCTGTGAAGAACCTGTCACAGTGCCCAGGAAATCCAACCTGCGGTTGCACAAGAACCTGTCGTTTCAGAAGGAGGAACACACACTGTTATGTTAGGATAACACTGTGGTACACTTTGTAAGCAGCTAGCAAGTCACACAGCCGTGCTAAACAGTGCACGTCGGGGCCAGTGCTATGGTGCTGTAGGTTAATCTTCTGCCTGCGGGGCCAGCATCCCATATGGGCGCCAGTTCTAGTCCTGGCTGCTCCTCTTCCAATCCAGCTCTCTGCTATGGCCTGGGAAAGCAGTAGAAGATGGCCCAAGTCCTTGGGCCCCTGCATCCACGTGGGAGACCCAGAAGAAGCTTCTGGCTCCTGGCTTCACATCAGTGCAGCTCTGGCTGTTGCAGCTGTTTGGGGAGTGAACCAATGGATGGAAGACCTCTCTCTGTGTCTCTCCCTCTCACGGTAACTCAAGCTCTCAAATAAATAAATAAAATCTTTTAAAAATTAAACTGTGCACCTCAAGGGAGTATAGGACATGTTAAATACATGGTGCATACCGAAGAATTTTTTTTTCTCTAGAGAATAAAAACAAAAATTGTGGAGCAGAAATGTAATTCAAGAATGAAACTCATAGCCAGTAAATAAAGTAAAATCATACATTTTGATTTCAAGCTTAGCAAAAGCTAATTATAGTTTTAGCAAGAGAGGATCCTGGGACCTTTTGATTAAATATGCTCTTTCAGTTTTCAATTTCCTATGAGTTTGTTTCCATTATGGTCAACTTTTCATTGATTTTACTTTTATTGTAAGTTCTCTGAAAGAATTATTTGATTCCAAGATAATAATGAATACTTAGCTTACCAAGAGGTTCAAAGATGCTAATTAATTATTTAAAACTAACTGGCCAGAGTAATTAAGGGTGAAAATACACATGGCAACAGACTGCAAAGCCAGTCCTTCCCTGAACATCAGGCCCGGCAGCTTATCACCACACAAAGAATGAAGGGATGAATGCAAATTAATTTTGGGTCCCTGGACTACTAGGTTTACCTGTTTTCAGCAGTGCAATATTCTAAAAATGATTTCATTCCTTATGGCATCTAGATCAAGTAGTTTTGAGCAAAAGTTTTTTTTTTTTAACTTTTATTTAATGCATATAAATTTCCAAAGTACGACTTATGGATTACAATGGCTTCCCCCCCATACCGTCCCTCCCACCCACAACCCTCCCCTTTCCCACTCCCTCTCCCCTTCCATTCACATCAAGATTCATTTTTGATTATCTTAATATACAGAAGATCAGCTTAGTATACATTAAGTATGGATTTCAACAGTTTGCTCCCACACAGAAACATAAAGTGAAAAATAATAGATGATTTTTTTAAATGATGATGAAATCAGAGCAGACCTATTGTCATGTTTAATCCCAGTGAGAGTCAAGTTGGGAATTGATAATTTCTTTTTTTTTTTTTTTTTACAGAGGATCAGTTTAGTATGCATTAAGTAAGGATTTTAACAGTTTGCACCCCCATAGAAACACAAAGTGAAATATATTGTTTGAGTACTCGTTATAGCATTAAATCTCAATGTACAGCACATTAAGGATAGAGATCCTACATGAGGAGTAAGTGCACAGTGACTCCTGTTGTTGACTTTACCAATTGACACTCCTGTCTATGGCATCAGTAATCTCCCTATGCTCCAGTCATGAGTTTCCAAGGCTATGGAAGCCCTCTGAGTTCTCCGACTCTTATCTTGTTTAGACAAGGTCATAGTCAAAGTGGAGGTTCTCTCCTCCCTTCAGAGAAAGGTACCTCCTTCTTTGATGACCTGTTCTTTCCACTGGGATCTCACTCGCAGAGATCTTTTGCCAGAGTGTCTTGGCTTTCCATGCCTGAAATACTCTCATGAGCTTTTCAGCCAGCTCCGAATGCCTTTAGGGCTGATTCTGAGGCCAGAGTGCTATTTAGGACATCTGCCATTCTATGAGTCTGCTGAGTATCTCACTTCCCATGTTGGATCACTCTCCCCTTTATTTACTCCATCAGTTAGCATTAGCAGGTACTAGACTTGTCTATGTGCTCCCTTTGACTCCCAGTCCCTTCACCATGACCAACTGTGAACTGAAACTGATCACCTGGAACAGTGAGATGGCATTGGTACATGCCACCTCGATGGGATTGAATTGGAATCCCCTGGTATGCTTCCAACTCCACCACTTGGGGCAAGTCAGCCTGAGCATGTCCCAAATTTTACATCTCTTCCCTCTCCCATTCCCACCACCATGTTCAACAGGGATCACATTTCAGTTAATTTTCAACACTTAAGAATAACTGTGTATCAATTACAGATCTAAACCAGTCATATTAAGTAGAACAGATAAAAAAACTACTAAGAGGGATAATGTATTTGAGCAAAAGTTTTTAAAAGATCTAATAGATAGCCAAATTGCAGATTAGTCATATCTTTTCTTTCCTTTCCTATGCCCTGTAAAAATGTTATCAATACTTTATACATAACATATACAGTATTTTTTCAGGAAAGAAAATTCTATGAAAACTCTTTATATTTTTATTTATTTTCATTTTATTTGAAAGTCAGAACAGAGTGAGACAGAGATCTTCCATCTGCTGGTTCACTCCCCACGTGCCAAGGCTGAGACAGGCCAAAGCCAGGAACCTGGGACTAAATCCTGGTGTCTCAAGTGGGTAGCAGGGACCCAAATACTTCAGCCATCATCTGCAACTTCCCAGCATGCTTATTAGCAGGAAACTGGATGGCAGGAGTAGGCAGGCCTCCTTGGTGGCCTCCTGACGGCATTTTAAATAGGGCTTCCTTTGTTTTTGTTTTTTTGTTTTTTTTTTTTTTCCTACTTGTTCTGCAGCTTGAATTGGTCCTTTGAGCTCTTACCTGTCCAGTTCTACTAAGTCAAGAGGACTTAAAATAGAGAACCTCATTAACCCACTTGCAGCAAATGTTTGTGTAGAGAGTGAGTGTGAGAGGTGTAGAGTTAGGGGAGAGTTGAGTGCATGAAAATACATGGTTTTATAATTGAAAACTGAACTACATGATAATAGGAGAGGAAAAACACAATACCATCTAGCTTCTAAATTCTGAGCCAGGGTCACTCCAGCAGATTAATAAAGTGGAGTAACAAGATTAAAAAGACAGACTAGAGAAGAGTCACTGATCACTTACCTTGATTTGTTCCTTCCCCAGTGACCAAGTTTCCTTTATGGGCTCTCGATAGTCATTGGCAGAGAGTTTGTTCTGGGACCACCTGTGCCCCGTGTAAGGGCACCACAAAACACACCAGACACCAGAGTAAGGGAGAAGGTTTATTGTTAGGTGGGGGGAACCCAACAGGCTGAAGAGAGAGGGTGAGAGAGGGCAAAGAGGGGAGAGGAGGAAGAGGAAGAGGAAGAAGAGAGCCTGTGCAGGAAGGCAGGCCTGGTACACCGTGCAGGGATGAGGGAGTGGGAGCAGCAAATCCCCTTAGAGTGGGGTGGAGTCTACGCTTGTGGTGTGGCTGTTTGGTCACCTGACTCCTGGTAGCCAGGCTGGACTTAGGAACTGAAACTTAACTCTGGAGAG